AAAAAATATATTTAAAAAATCATAACTACAGCAAAATGTATATTTTATTTAACTTTAAAAAACACGCTAAGCGTTTGATTTGAATATTTCCTTTGAGACAACGCAACCAACGTTCCGCCACTGTCATCTACTCCTCCTCTACTCGACCGTAACAAAAACACAATTTTAGAGCGCGTGAAGTCTTTACGCTTCTTGTTTAGTAAGTCAGCCATGACCAAACTTGACAAGAAACGCGCAAACCCATTCTAAAGCGCGCGGAAACGCCCAAAATGCCCCCATTGTGTCTAGCTGCCTAGTTCCCATGGTTATTGTTGTATACTATTTTTGGAATCATACGGAGAGGTTAGGTGTAATAAAAAGTTGTCATGATAAACATATATTCATACGAATTGTTCACGACCCTAGCGATATATAAGCTAAGAAAATAGTACTTGTCCAGACATCTCATCGACAGTACATTTGAAAGTTGAATGTAACTTTCCAAAGTGAAGGATTGATCATTGGCATCATTGGGTTGTTAAAATAGAGCCAAATAAAATGGTGATGTGATATTTATGACTATTCTTCAAATGGTTTTTGTTTTAAACCTATCGTAACTGTGCAAGCTGTAATGTCTAGTCCACACTGGAAGTTTTTAAATATTATCGCATGTGTTTTTCATGTTTTCCAAATCGTCCGCTATGCATTTATACAGTGAATAACTTCAGTTTTCGTGAGTAAGTCTTTATTTCATGAAATTCAGTGAAAATGATTCCGTAATGACATCAGAATAACAAAACTGAGATATTTTGATTTAATCTCACTCGTGATCACTCGTGGTCACCCGTGGTCACTCGTGGTCACTCGTGGTCACTCGTGGTCACTCGTGGTCACTCGTGGTCACTCGTGGTCACTCGTGGTCATTCGTGGTCACTCGTTAGTACTTTTTGACCTTATCCACTTCTAAGAGCTTAGGCGCATTTTTCTTTAGAAAGATGGCTTCAAATCAGACTAACCGTTTTCAGAGCCTAGATTCAGCAGTAGAGGAGTTCAGAGACGGACAGGAAAATCAAAACACCAAGAAAAAGACCAAACATGATGTCGCTCTGTTCCACGAATTTCTTGTTTTGAAAGGCGAAAGAAAATTAAGTCTCGGGTTTTCACTTCTTTATTTCAAATTTTGAACTTCCATGGAATTATTTCGACATATTTTCAGGATGTATTAATTTATTCTACCTAGTTCTACCTTTCAACGGCATTTTCGCTTCATAATTTAGATGTAAAGAGGTATTTTACAAGGAAGCCATTTCAGTGCAACTCCCGAACGGCGGCTTGACCGCGCGTTGCTTTCCTTTGAAAGAAAATAAAGATATGTTTATGACGGAGTTAAGGATTCTACCGTTTTATTTTTTTTCTTTTCATCGACTTAGTGGTAGAAATGCTATTTTTTCGTACTGTTTTGTCATTCATTGCGCGTGGTGTTTATTATTTGGAATTTCGAAACGGACAAGTTCAAGAATTGGCATCGTAGTTTCAAGGCAAATTGAGGTTTGGAGTCCACTGTTGTTCGTATTAAAGTTATTAGCATCTTTTTAACGCGCGCTCGAGATGTAATGGAGGAATGAAATACATCGACTGAGTAAAGCAAGCGCACGATGCTCGAGGTAAGATTATAAACGAGGTTATCTTGACCCTATCTTGGGGGTGTTGGTGGTAATGGGTCGATTAGCTTACATTCAATATCGCCCACCCGAGATCGCGAGTGAACTCCGGTTTATTCGTCAACAGGAACCAAGAGCAGTTAATTATCAATCACTTCTCGGGTACTCGTTGGTACTATTGATTATGTTTGACTGATATATCGATTGTTAAATCAGTGCTTATTTCATTTGGGCGCTTTGATACACTGGTTCTTTTTCGACCACACTGCATATTCATGTTTGTGTTGGTCCAGATTTAGAGGCTATGACAAGTTGCCTGTATGTGAAAAAAAATTCAATCGTTGTAGATATTTAATAGGGGAAGAAAAACGTTTAAAGGGGAGAGAGGATTTATTACGGGTCAGATTTGTACTACTTATCTTTTACACGGAATAAAGAACGACAGGATAATGAACTTGGCACATTTTTAACAGTTCCAGTGTTTAAATCTAATTTATTACTGTTATGCATTGTACACTAACTGTATGTAACATAACATTGGCTGCATCACTTAGCTTTGCCCTTCCTGTACAAAATGATTCACTTAATGTCCAAGAACACCTATACACAAGTCATGTACTTATCACATTAAAAGTTACCTACTGCTAATTATATGTTTAATTATACGTGTGCAATATTATAATGATATAATCTACATTTAGTTAAATATTACATTTATTATGATCTTAAACTGCTGCAGTGAAGTGACAGCATTTCAATGTTTGTTTAATATTCTACTAAGCTACAGTTATGCATAATAATTTAAAATCAGATATATTACAGCTTCATTTACCTACTCTTCATTTTGAATGTAATGTTCAATTCATTTAATTCAAGATCCAATACAACGTGATTAAATACATGCATGTCTCAGCTTTGGCTCCATGCACTTTACTTATACCCTGCAAAACCAGTTACAATATTGCAAAGCTAACATGCTACATACACTAAAACTGATATTGAGCTCTGTTCAGTTAACTAAAGTGGCATATACGACATGCTTTTATCAGGTTAGTTCTAACATGTTGCATTGAAACATTTATTGATTTTTAGATGTGTCTGCGTGTAAAAATGCATTCATGTTGAGATACATTTACTTTGTGCAGTATGGGTCAGTGAAATCAGTTCTTATGTACAAATCTAAAATGTTTAAAAATTACTGAGCCACCCCCATGACTACTTTATTCTTCATGTGTAGGCAATGGCGTAATATGTACAGTCATGTGGGACCTGGAAAGACAAGTAGTTGGAGGTTGGAAGACATTTTGGAAGGTTTTGTAAACACAACTGGCATTCTCTTCCTAGATCATAAATTGGTAGCTCCTCCCCATAGTTCCACACCTTTAGCGCTGCCAGCTGCATGAGTCTCGGAACTTGTCCACCAGGTGTACTGGTAACTCCCTTAATTACTGTTGGGCTGAAGGACCTTTGTCCCTCCAGCACAGATGTTCCCTTGGCAGAAGCTTTCCAGTGAAGTTTAAGTTTGCGACCATCAGCTTTTAGTGACTGAATCATTTCCGGTAAGTCATTGTTTACTTTCTTTTCTATCCAAACTTTAGGGTAAACATCCTTTGCTGTAAGTGGCCCATGTGTGCCGTTTTCTCTAATCTTGTTTAAGTTCTTTCTTGCCTCTTGCAAAAGGTCTGTGGTGAGCATTTGGGCATATTCTTTCATTCTTTCTTCATGAACTTCACGTGCAGCTTCTGTGGTCCTGGTGTTGGTTTTTCCACTGTGCAGAATGTTCTGAACAAATGTGATTGAAGCCTGTTTTGATAACTCTTACATGTTATCATTAAAATACAGTTGTGAAAGGTTGAACTGTCTTTCTGCAAGAACATTGTTAACTGGAAGACTGAAAATGTGCTTGGCGTAGAACTCAAACAGGTTTGGAGTGGCTTCTTTACTTATGAGTGAGCTCTGTTGTGATAAGGCCATTTCTTTGATCTCACATAGCAATTGGGGTTCCTTTAATTTCCAAAGAGTGGCCCATTTAATTAATCCATGANCCACTACCGCTACCGACAGACGACATCATGGACTTGCTAAACATTTGCCTAACGTCTACTTACTTTCAGTACAACGGTAAACACTACAAACAGTTACACGGCACTGCCATGGGGTCTCCAGTTTCTGTTGTTATAGCAGAAATTGTGATGCAGAACATCGAGGAACGCGCCCTTTCGACTTGCCGACAAACGATACCGCTTTGGTTACGTTACGTTGACGACACATTCACCGCCGTTCGACACGACGAAATTGACGCATTCCACAACCACCTTAACGAACAAAACACTGACATACAGTTTACCAGAGAAGTCGAAGAAAATGGCAAACTTCCTTTTCTAGACTGCCTGGTAAGCCACAACGACAACTCATTACGAACGACAGTTTACAGGAAACCGACACACACCGACAGATTACTAGACGAGTCATCCTACAACCCTACATCACACAAAGCCACAACTATCAGAACTCTAACACGACGCGCACAACTAGTATGTGACTCGACAGACAGCTTAATTTATTCTACCCAGTTCTGCCCTTTAACGGCAATTTCGCTTGATAATTTAGTGCAACTCCCGAATGGCGGCTTAACCGCGAGTTGCTTTCCTTTGAAAGAAAATAAAGATATGTTTATCTCTGAGTTCTGTTCGCTTATGAATCTCGGTATGTATATAATAAATAAGTTAGTTCACGGTTAGTTCGCTTGTACGATTTTTATTCACTCGTTGTGAATAAAAATCGTACGCGCTCACCAACCGTGAAATAACCTGTAAATGTAACACAACCTCATCCGGCTTTGCCAAACCTCAAGAACATACAGATGGGGAAATGACACTTTAAAACTGACCCTTATTGTCACATCGCAAAGGAAAGTCATTCAGAGATATCCTTATGAGAGCTAAACTGTAAGGGTAGAAGATTTAAAAGCGCTAGCGAAAGGGAGGAGACTCATAGGCCTATCAAAACCTTTCAACGGTTGACTGCCTTTAGCTCTTCGGCATACTGGCGTGTCGCCTCACGCAAGGTAGAGGTTTTCGTGGATCAACTGACTCTTCATTGCTCAAATTAAACTGTCCTTCATTCAATGATCAAAATAGAAGATTTACCATACAACACTCGCGATTAGTTAATTTGCATTCACTCAGGAAAGAAGATTTACAACACGATTGAGTTCATATAGTAAATGTCATTGCGGTAGTAATGCTATGTAACGCAACACACTAAACGCAACAATGGGTCTTTCCGCTTCCATTGCCGAGGTCTCAAACACCATCACTTAAAATGCATAAAACGTTTGTACAGTTGGAGAGCGTTTGAGAGCGTTTGAGAGCGTTTGGTCAGAGCTGTTGAAGAAGAATCAAAGTAGCCATACAAATCTTTAAAAAGGCATCAAACTACGACGTACAACAAATTAGACCTCGAAAACCGCTCTCAAATTACATGCCATAAAACAATGCTAACGTCTGTCCTCAAGAACGATAAAATACACGATAAATACGGACAAAAAATACTTCTAAACATTGAGAATAAATCAAATTACATTTACCTATAGTGGAATTAAAAATAAATGACATCACTTTCACGGAATTCTCAGTCGAAATCAGCCGATTTCTGCCGCTTTTACCACCATGTTGAAAATAACGCTACCACAATGCAATACAGTCGGAGTGCGTACACCGCCTGCTAACTTTCAGCAAAACCTATACTTTTCTTTTCACAGATATAGTTATGATTTATTCGACGAGTAAGCGATTAAGTTCCTGTTCGTGGAACGAGAAAGCTCTGACAATGATGCAGTTATGGGTAAAGCGCTGTGAGAGGACAAGGCGTTCAACACCGTTTACACCGAAAGAATAGGATGAAATCCATCTCGGCAATTACAAAATTGAGAGGTTGATTCGAAGATCAGAGGAAATGAATAGATTTGGGGAGACAGCACCTCCAAAAATGAGACATTATGATGTCCCTTGCACAGCTATGGTACTTCTGAAGATATGGTCGTTTTGATACTTGCAAGAAAGTAAAAAATTAATATCAGGAAATTATTAGGGAGCTTGCACCCTTCATGCATCCTGATAAGTTCGTTCCTCGTTTTGACAAAAACATATGCGAAGACGATCGCCCGCAAATAACTGACGGGATTCGTATGATGAATATAAATAGTACTTCTGTATAAATTGAAAGAGTGTGACATTCAACTGAGATGGTATGACGCTCAGTGTCAAAGCAGAATGTTAAGAACGATGTTTCAAACTATAGTTAATCGTGAGGAAAAGGAAGTCGCTCGCCATTTTAGGTGATTTACGATACTTTACATATCACTACCTCGAAATCAAACTGGAAAAGAAATTCGCCAAGAGAAAATAGGTACTCTGTAAAAAGTCCCCTTTCGGAAAATTGTCTTATTGAAACCTCTGACGTTTTCATACGAACATAAAGCCTCAGTAAGAAAATCCGGCAATAGAAAGAGATAAATTTGGTATGGATGCTTCTTCATGCCGATTGAAAATACGTAAAGACAGAATGTGTTTTCTAACCTGTTCTTTTCGATCCATTTTCTTTCATTTCCCGCTCAACGAAGCCTCTGATTTCTCTAACAAAATTAAGAAATGCAGGCAACTTCTGAACTATGATTTCCGGTTGCCAATCTGTACTCATAAGAAGTCTGTCGCATTCTTCGCTGTGTAGGTGGAGCTCAGTCTACCCAGTGGAAACAGAGAAAGATAGAGTTAGGACTCGACAAAGTCTTCCTAAGCAATACATGCCATTGTGGCAGAATTTGTGAGATGTAAGACAGTTAAAAATTAATTTTACCGATTCTCTGTTTGTTTCATTTTCTGAAGAGTCAATCCACCATGCGTTCACTTGTGAAAGTGTGGCAGAGAATTCTGGACGGCTGCTGTACATTTTTCGCTTACAGCATCGCTTAAAGAGTAAATGAAATCCGTCGGGGATATGATCTGGAAGACGTAATCCGAAGGCATTCTCATCTGTCAAAGTCAATCGAGAAAGGTATGTGGACAAAGTATGCCTCACTTCTATTTTTGGAACATCTCCACTTTCAACGGTATAATCTGTGGCAAGATAAATATTTCACAACAGTAAGTAATAAATATTATAAAAAAGTTGACGTAAAAAAGAACTAAATTTATCATGCAAAGATTTAAGAATCGTTTGATGAAGTATATGACCGTGAGACGAAGGTTTCTGTGGTTTTTCTGCTTTGAGTTCTTTAATGCTCTTCAGCGTTGTTATTTATTTATATGACTATGACATTCGTAATGATGACAAAAAAAAAACATAAAACTGTCCGCTGCACACATCAGATTTAACCAGCATTTTACAGGGGTGCGACATTTAATCGCGTCTAAATTCTAATTGGTAATGGCGATAATAGAAAGGGAGATGAATAACCGGTTAAATAGCTTTGTGGATGGATGCTCTAAAGCTGAAAAGAGGACGTAGCTCGTTAAGATAAGAATGAAAACTTCCTTTGCTCGACTTCTGAGCAACAGCAGAGTAAATGCCGCCTTGTGAGTGACTAGACATCCTTACTAAATGGAAAAAGATCACCTAACGTTGACGCTTCATAAAAAGATGTCTGACCCTAGATATTTACGGACGACTGGATACAACCAGATATCGGTCGAGCGAGAGCAGCGAACGAGTGCGATTTCTCATAAAAACCAACGATTGAAGGAAGATGTTGTTCAGTCACAGACCTAATCGAAGAAAAATAAACTTAAGTGCTCGTAATAGGAGTCGATCGAACTCATGGCCCTCCCGTTAGTACTTAGGATACTCAGCCACTGAGCCGTCGAATAGATTTCAAGTAAGATCATCGTGCAAACAGTATGCAGTATGCATCGTGCCTGCATGCTGCGAAGATATTAATCGGTTAAGTGACTGGCTTATGTGCAATTATGGTGTAAATGAAGACGGTGAATTTTAGACCTGGAATGAACGACATTACAACATCAAAGAGAATGTCATGGATAAGCAAAAAAGATGATACTGCACTGATGATATCTCAGATGTCATCGATAGCCCTTTACTGCAGGAGAAAAAGAAGGAGCGAGTAGATGAATGGATGGATGGATGAATGGATGGGCGGACAAATGAACGGATCGATAGGTGATGAAGAGATTAATAAATATAAATGAATGAATGAACGAATAAATGTTAAATTAATAGATATTACGATAAAAAATATTTGGTCTTACGTCTTCGCTCATGCACGATGAACCTGCAGTCTAGCTCGCAGCCAGGAAACAGAATGTCTCTCTTCAAATGCCTTCGAGATTTAAGTACCAGCCATCCACGACAGCGTGTTCGTGTCATTTCATCTTCGAAATAAATCTCCTCTAATAAATTGTTAGCATCACCAGGGATTGGTACATCTTCGAGCCTTTCCTTTAAGCTACTCTTTGCCACCCACACCTGTCACATAAATATCGGAAAAATAAGCTCAGCATGGTATGCAGAGTAGCTTCATGATTTTAATTTTTTGCCAACATCACAGTCCGTTCACCCGTCCGTCCGTCGGACAGCCAGTCATTCAGTGAGTCAGTCTGCGAGTGAGTGGTCAATAGGTAGGTCAGTCAGTCAGTCAACCATTCAGCGTGTCTGTTATCTTATTTGCTAGTCGTGATCAGTCGTTGAGTCAGTAAGGTAGTCGGTGAGTCAATCAATCACTCAGTCAGTGAGTAGGTAACATCCAGAAAAGTGGTGTCAATCGACTCAACAACCCGTATGTTATAGAAGATGTTGTTCGTCATGGTTATATAGATAAACGATCGTTTAATCATTTGTTTCGCGATATAAATTCAGGCTACCGTTCGTATTCATCGTGGAGTTTCGACTGCAATCACATATTTTTGGATAATGAACATTAATCTGCGCTATGCTTAAAACGAGAGTTTCATGCTGTAAACAATATAAGATAAATAAAACAAGCGGTCAAAGACCGCATGTGGCTACTGATACAGCACAGGTTTTTTAGCATTGAAAAGAACTAGAGGTTATTCATATATAATGACGCTAGAAGGTAGTGTTACAGAATATTTGTCTCACACGTAAAATAGGAAACCTGCGGCATCCCACATATTAATGAGTACCCTGCTCCACAAGAGAAAGATGATTCAAGAATAAATTTTCTAATTTACATTCAGCCAATAATTAAATGGTAACAATATTTACAATGGTAATAATGAAAATAGTAATTCTTTATTTTATTTGTTATTTTTATTTTATTTAGCTTCGCCAACCGGCAGGGACACCGCAACAGCTTGTGCCGATTACTGCGGGCCCAATAAAAGGGAAGGGACTCGAAGTTCGAATTCGAAGGGACTCGGTCGAAAGCCTCATGGTTCCCCTATCCTCTGGGCTCCAAGAATGATTACCTTGCTTCTTTTAATTTCGCCTGTTAATAGGAAATATATTTTTATTTAATTGCAATTCCATTTTATATTTTAAACTTTTGTTTTAGAATAAGTCTTAAGATGTTCCACCATTTCGCCGATCTACAATTCCCATCTGCCGGAGGAACGGTATTATATTTCGCAGATTGCTCGCTTCGCAAATTCAGCGGTCCTTTTCGACAAAAGTCGCTGATGCCTTCTTTTCAAAGAAAAAGGAATTTTTCTCAAAACTAACATAATGTGCAGATCACGTCTATCGGGATATTTATGCGGAGAAATGTTTTGATGCCAACTATGTGTCGGTGGATACCTCCGTGAAATTATCTTAGACGTTTATCTCTTTTGTAGTGTCACGTGTGACAAAAACTGAACGGTTATATCGTTGGCTACTGAATTACACGGTAAAATGCCCCTCCCTCCAAAGGAAAACATTTCCTCCTAAGTTTTATGATGCACCTTTCACATCTATTTAGAGAGATGTTTATCGCTTTCTTCTGTCTTCCATGGTGTCACGGCAAGAACTCAAAACATAATATGCTGGTGGCTATAATCCAGAAGTCACAAAAGGAAAGAACTCTTCCAAGTACTGAGTTCGAATGTCGAACCACTGAGATACTCCGGAAAGTAGCACCAGGAAACATCGGGTCCAAATTGGTTCAAGATCGGAATTCTATTGCTACACTCACTCACTCACTCGCTCATCTCCACAACATATGAGGCTCACCCTCCAGACGAAAACATGAAAGAAAATGCTCTTAAGAAATTCAGTTTGCGAGCTGTTGACTTTGAGAAATGCAAAACTACCTCGTTTTTTAATTAATTTCTCCCTTCGTACTAGCTTGATCAGTGTGGAAAGTCGTCATTTGCGTAGTCAATACATGGGCCATCGAGGGACAAGGCGTTTAAGAGCAAACCAAACGAATTAAGGAAAAACGTTTAGTATATAACTATAGATTGAAAACGTGGGAGTTCTATTACACACGCGTTCGTTGTCTCCGTTTGAAGAAAAGAGGCAAAAAAAGGAAAACCTACCATACACCTAAGATGATAAAAGCAAGGTGTCAGATATGTCAGGTCATATCTGGAGATGTATTCGTCACCCATAGTAATCTCTTTGTAGCCATTGCTTTGAAAGATATCCTCAGGAATATCGTCTTGTACTGTAAAAGAAACTTTCCAAAAATTTCCTCCCACATCGGGTCTTTGCAACTTTTCTGTTACCTCTTCGATTTCCCACGTTTGTTGGAGAACGTCATCTACGATATATGATAGAACATTGAGATTATGAATGTTTTGGTGAAGTACTTTGCACGTTTCGCGAGGTGTGACAAGTCAGCCAGGTCTGTTTTAACAGTGAGGAAATGCAAAGTACATGCGGAAAAGAAAAAGAGAGAACAGCTTGGAGAACACGAAGAAGAAATGGCGAAAAGGACGATAAGGAAGAGACAACTAAGGAGGAAAATATAAGATAGACCTTTTGTTAATTGGATGTATATTCATCAATGAAAAAGAGAATAAAACACCTTCATCAGGTGCTCGAATAATGCAGGTTCCTAAATAGCACCATATGTCGGCCTTCGGAGTCTCAGCTGAATCCATGTTATCTTTAATTTTCCTGAGAGACATCAAGACTTCATCCAGAAGATTTGATTGATACGCGGGGTCATTCCAGCCATGATAAGAATCCTGCCGAGATATAATATAAATTTGCTTTTTTTTTTAGTAGATAGGTACATTCGCGATAAAATCATAGACTTTTGAGATTTTTCAAATGTTAGGGAACTTGAAAAAAACCTGGTATGACGATTGAGTATTAAGGACAAGGACCTTATGGTTTCGTGGTCTGTAAAATGTAAATGTAAAATGTTATCTGTAGTACTGCAATGAAGTATTTAGTTTATAAAAAGTTAGTCAGCTAGTTAGTCAGCTCATTTCAATTTAGTCGTACATTTATACTTAGAACGTAGTTACTTTATTAGTTCAAATTTAGAAGTTATTTAGGTTCCCAAGGTCAGCCAGCTGGCAAGCCCACCCGCATCTTTCAATAGTGAATATGTAAGCATGTTTGATAGAGCTACCTTAGTAAGAGAGAGAGCAGAGAAAGTTGATGGAGAGTACAGAGTAGAGAGTATAGAAGTGCTGAGACAGAATTCCATAGTTGAGGCGAGCGTTCATCAGCACAAACTAATGAGAAGTATCCCGTGATAATCAAAGTGTGAGAGCCAAAGAGATTAACCAGCGTTACTCAGAATGAAGTAAACTTGAATGTAAACCGAATCGTACACTAGAGAACCGAGTGATTAAAGAAAGAAGAAATACAGTTCGAGGTTCTTGGTGCCTTTCGCCGAGCTTAATGCGCTCGATAGCTAGTTCCCCCGGACATTTCAAGGTATAACACACTTTGTAGAGGATTACATCGTAACAGTCGCATGGAATTCAACCCACCGGACTTAAATCATAGAAAAGGTCAGCTATCACAGTATTTTTCTGTCCATTTCTCGCTATAAAGTGAAATGTGCTCTTACGGGTTGACGAGGACAATTTTTCCCTGCAGAAGTTCAACATCAAACATATACCTTCCTTGCACAGTGCTCAGCTGGCTTTAGTCGATACTGGGTTTCAGATCCTGGCAGAAGAATTGGATTTTCCGCTTCTGCCTCCTCAAGCTTGAGTTTACACTTCACAGGAAGATGACAGCCATCGACATAAGAGCAAACTTTGTTTTCAAAAGCCATTACTCTTGCTACAGCCTGGAGGTTTCAAGGCATCGTTATAAGTGGTCAGAAAGAAGTAAAATGCAATAACAAAGTAGGTTTTTATCCCGCACATCATAACTACGCCGGTTAGTGGTTTAAACCACACGAGTATTCAACTGGATATAACTTAATTATTTGACAACGAAAATGAAGAAACCTTACACAGGTTCCGAAATTTAGATCCCTTTTCGCCGAGGATTCATTAAAACAGAAATGATCAACCCAAATTTTTCTTGATACTCTGCGCGATTCTCTCCTTCTGTCGCAACTACTTGCTGTAGCACTAGCCTGATTCTTCGTCAAAATCTTCACTGAGATTGAGGGCCCTTCTCGCCACAGAAAGTGCATCTCTTTCCTGCCTACCATGACAGCTCAAAGGATTGAAACCTTTCATTTATAAAAAGTTTAGAGAGTGGGTGATTTTATTTTACCGAACTTTTAACCCTTTTTTATTTCTTCTTAATTTTCTTGACCATTTATCTCTCTGTCACGTTTGAAAATTTCAGCGGAATATTGTTTGTGGCTAGTGACGCTATACTGAAGCCACATCTAACATCTCCTTTTTGAAATTTTTTCTTCTTCTCTGTTTGCTTACAGCTTGAAGATTCAGTTTACGATAAGTGGCACCTGGTTGGATGTATCGCCTTCCCTTACCAGCGGGTAAATCATACATAATACGAATAACATAAACTAACAACGTTTTCCAGTCTTCTTTGTGAGTAGTATCATATGTGCATGTAGCGACAGGCTTTTCCATTCCCACAAATTTACCACTCGTGATAAATGCCACGGTTTTTTTCCTTTTTCTATCATTTTTTGCGGTAACATCTGGAGTTCAGCTAGAATATTCTAAATCACGCTAGTACAGCAGTCTCACTTTGTGGATATTTATGAAAGAATAAATGAGTACATACCACAGTTTTTCCAATGCTCATTTTTGCATGTCGCCGTTGTTGTTCTGTTCCATGGACTATAAATATTTCTTGTTCCTTAACAGAAAGTCTTACTCCTGTCTGGTTTTCTATCTTGCGTAAATTAGCTTTCCCAATTCCAATCACCTTGCCTTTATATCTGTCTGGAATTTCAACCGGCTCGTCCCAGTTATGATTCAGCTCCGCCTGTAAAAAAGGAAATTGTTGTTCAGTAAAGAATCTGTAATGCTTGAAGTAGGGATTCTGTTTCTCAGTATAAATTTGCAATTTGAAATCATTTGGTTTTTTCAAACCCTTAACTACGAGTGCTCTCTGTCAGCAAATGGATTAGTTAAGACAGTTTAGGTTGTTTTCCTGGGGCAGCTGCCTTTAGACGGACATAGATATCAAGTAATGTTAATCTTAACGCAATAACGTATCATGAACTGACCAGTTTTTTAGATATAAGTTGTTTGGCCATCTTTATTCCCCCTTTGCTTCCAATTATAGTAAACCCTGCCTCATATCTCTTCCCGGGATCAATTGTGGTTCCAGAAAGCTTAGCCATTTCATTTATCCCAGCTCGACGCCAACCAATGACATAGCCTTTCAACTCTATTGGAACTGGCATGAAGTCAGACAGCAATGCTGCGGCCATAGTTTTTTCTCCTTGGTAGCGGACAAATCTGAAAATAATTTACTTTCAACTTCAATTGTTTGTCGTCTCTAAATTGTTTAAGCAGGTTGATTAATTTAGCAGCTGTAATAGCTGATGTGGACCTGCTGTCCTAACCCACCCATCCCATCCCAGGGGAGGACATCCATCACACAGTAATCTCGTGTGTGGGAAATTAACGTCTCCTGCCCCAACCCTGCAGGAGACGGGACCTCCAAATTAAACGCCTAATTGTGCATGTTTGTCCTGGTCTCTTCCATGACGTCTATACCTTTCAAATATTTTCCCTCTGAAATCTGAAAAAATGATAATTTCTGACTTTGATTACAATGTTGGTTAAGTGAGAAAGTAAGATTACCTTCGTCTTTGCGAAAAAAAAGCAGAAAAAAACAAAAAAAAAAACAAAGCAACCGGCTAAACAACATTCGATACAGAGGAGAATCGAGTACATTAGCGGAAGAAATTCCCTCAGGGTTAGCTGTTTGTTTCCACTGCCTTTTGGAATTGAAAAAAAAAAAAACCAAATGACAAATCCAAATACAAAAACAACCCCAAAAAAGATGAATGAATCAATAAACAGATCCACAACAAGGCAATGGGTGATTGGCCGATTCCAGGGCTCGCGTGCTCGCAAAGTCTATCTACCGCGCACACATCACTCATTTCGTCTGTTTATCCATCACCTAACGCTAACGCCTGAAACGCCGTCAGCTTTGAAACTCTACACGGTGACAAATTTATATTATCAACTTAGCTGATAGAACCACAATTATCTATCACTCAGTATCAACCACGAATTTTATCAAATATTGACAGTAGTCAGTTGCTGCCCTTCGATTGAATTGTTCAGAGATTTTGTTCACCCTCTCAGGTAATCGTATAACTTATCTTTATCTACTAAGTAGGGATCTGAATTGATGTCGCTGCGACTTTTTGTGTAACAATATAGTTGCATTCACAACTACTGTGGATGAAACTTATTTGCACTTATTCCATATTCTGTGTCAACACACTCGGTAAAACTGTTTGCACAAACCAACGCTACAACATCTATATTGCTAGTATTTCGTTGTACTGGCTTGCCAATATAGTTATCGTCAGGCACTAGTTCAATACAAACAGAAGATAAACATTACCTCAGCTCGTGATTGTTAGGCGTTCTTGAATATCATTAAATTTGAAAGAATTTGAAGGTGTTTAGGCAAGTGAATGTGATGATATTTAAAAAAACCAACTTGAAAATTAAAAAAAAATTTCAAAAACAATACGGTCCCATCAGAACATACCGTTGAAAGCCAGAAATCAGCAAATGCGGTGAGACACCAACTCAAATATTTTAGTAGAAACATCAATGCCGTTGTTAAGCCTGTTTACATAAGTCAAGGACAATTCGAGCCAAAAGAACGTAAACTTCCAATTGTGGATCAACAAAACGGTTTTTATTATTTAAGTGTGCTCTGCGTGATGCAGACTAGGAGTGTAGGAGACCATTGGAAGCAATTTCAAAATTTTGAAGAAATCTCCGAGCAAACTCGACTGATTGATTTTTTGAAATGTTTTTTGTCCATGAACTTAAACCGAAACTGAACGAACAGATTGATTCGAACCCCGAGAAGCTGTTTATTTAACTATTAAATCATATTATATGCGTCTCGGTGTTAGCACAAATGCATAAAAAGTCAGTGCTTTTTGTCTATCTTAATTTCTGAGTAAAATTTGATATGAATCTATCGTTTTTTCTTCGAGAATAAGTTATTTGAAAGGTAAACGTTCATCAGTGCTTGTTTTTAGGGGGAAGATGATTTCAGAGAAATTTACTGTGGACTGTTTTCCTGTCTCCTCACAGGCACGCGAAACACTTAGGAATCAATGGGTAAATTATTTGTTTCATTTTCCTCTTGATTTTCAGGGATAATTTGTCCACTAAGTTTTCTTTTTCGGTTTTAACCAAAGGTTCGAAAAGGCGGCGTGATTAAGCCAATTTGACTCGTAAATTATAAGGGCAAACATCACTTTCACTGCGGCTAGTCTCTCGTGCGATCGTTGCAGGAGACGAGTTTTTCCACCCACTCGCGAGCACGTACGACCATGGTGTAATGCGCAGTTCAAGTGCGCGGTGGCAATAGCAATCACCGCCCTAAACAAACTTCAGCGAACATTTGATTGTTTCTGTCTTGTAGATGAAAGGAGAGATCTAAACAAGGATGTCGAAAAGATTATTTAAATTACTGTAGGGGATTAAACACGGAAAACACAAAGAGGTACATCTCATTTGAAAATAAAATAATACAAAATCTGTAACTGCCTTGATAGCTTTGAGTTAACAGATGCAGGTTTTCCAGCTAAACACATCTGAGTAACTCAGTTCGATTGAACAGCGATAATGACCATAAAAGACCTACTTTCATGCCCTAAATAATTTAAGTTTCAAGACAAGTGATCTTACTCGCTCCTTGGTTGACCGTGATTCCACGTATCAACACTGAACGGTTCGCAGCATTTTCGATCTTTAATCGATCATAGCAACCATTCTTCTTGATCATTACGAACCAAAATATATATTTCGTACTTACTACATCCCTTGCTTAGTGTAATAATTTTCAATAAAAAGCGGCTTTACTTCGAAATCTCCACATCGATCTACTCCGAGTCATCTCGGAATACTATCGGGATGGAAGTCTGATAGACTCCTATCCTGCAAACCACGACCGCAGTGCATCCCGGGAAGAAAATGCGACGCAACTCTTCCATAGTCAGTCTTGTACGCTGTATTTGCAGCCTAATGGCTTATTATTCTCTGTCCATCTCTTGATATCAGTTGTAAAGAAAATGCTTGTTACCCGACCAAATTTCAACTTTGTCTTGTATTACTTTTTTGCTTTAATTTTTTTTTTTTGCCCAGCAATCTTAAGTCAGTCTCAGTAGAATGTCGCTGCAAGTATGTTTTCACTTCTCACTTTTTACTTCTTGCATATTTGAAATCGATACCCTGAATTTGTCTCTAAAAAATAAAGCAACTGCACCTCTTCTTTACCTTTTGGTTCCTTTTCTCAGAGTACATTTAAGTATTCTTAATTAGTTTCAAACACCAGCCTTCTTACATAACGGACAAAATAAGTTTGCTCTATAGGATCTGTTCTATTTTGCTTCTTGTCATTTTTTCATACTCATTTCTGTTCATTTATTTATTATTTATTTTTCGTATAAACCATTGAACACTTTGCACGAACACGTCGTCATCAATTCGTGAGAATTTATCTTTTATTAGGATACTGAGTAAACAAATGTACGATGACAGTTTCTATTGTCTTATGATAGACTCTACGAATAACCAAAGAAAACATCTTATCACAGGGAATGAAAGTGAGCTAGTGGCAAACGATTGGGGGAAGTTGGATGTATTTTACATGATTTAGTTAAATTTAGTTCGCTGGAAAAGTGTTTTGCGGTCCCCGAAAACGATCTGCAGCCGAAAGGAAGCAACAAATGTGAAATTTCAAAAAGAAGAGGGATATTTAGCTTACGAGTATTACTTTTGAGCATCTGTCATCGATGAAAGTGAGGTAGAATAATATTTCACCGTTCCCAGCTTCCATTGATCCCATCTCCCACTTCCATTGTTCCCAGCTTCTATTTTTTCCCGCTCGTTTTATACACTTCCCACAAAGGTAAGTGTATTTAACTAGTGAAACCAAGTCTGAGAGAGATATGACAAAATTACATATTTGGAGTACAGTGGCGAGTATCACCTTGTATACTGAGGTCCACTGTTCAGTCGTCGTGATCAATTCGAACCCGGAACTTAACAAAATAGTTTTCTGAAACAAGTGTTTGGTTAACCGCCTCCCGGTTAGCTCAATGAATAGAGCGCTGGACTGTAGCGCGGGAGGTCGACGGTTCGAGCCCCGGCCGGACCAACACTCAAGGTCTTAAAATAATTGAGAAGAGTTTGCTACCTTTCTATAACATCAAGAAATGGTTAGATATCCTAGTCTTCTCGGATAGGGACGAATAAATGGAGGTCCCGTCTCCTGCAGGGTTGGGGTAGGAGACGTTAATTTCCCACACACGAGATTACTGTGTGATGGATGTCCTCCCCTGGGGTGGGATGGGTGGGTTAGGACAGCAGGTCCACATCAGTTATTACAGCTGCCAAATTAATCAACCTGCTTAAACAAATAAATGAACTTGAACTTCGAACTATACATATACGAGTTACCGACACTGTACCATTTCGTGAGTAATTTTTCTGTTGAAGGAAATATTTTAGTCTTGTCTTTCCGTGGAAATAAACTCACGAGAGCAAGTCAAAGGCATCTTTTATTTTCGTCAGCCTAAAAATATACAATCTAATTGGTCCTAGGTGTCTATCTGCAAGATGGGCCACGGCGAGAATCGATTAATTGATAAATTAAATTAATTGATAAATTAATTTAATTGATAAATCGATTAATTGCAGAAAGTGAAATGAATTGCCTTCCAGGCAATTTTCCGCAAATTGTAGCTGCATTTTCCAATTCTTGGGCTTTCATTTGTGATAATTGTAAACTCGCATTTTAGTCAGTGCCATCATTCGCTATAATCATTATATTATAACTATTTTGGGAAAAGTACTAAATCTACTGTTATAATAACCCGCTGATTGTCATGAAAATCCGAAATTCAAGTTATCATCTTTGTTTAACTTTCTTCAGGAATAAAACTCGTTTATTTACAGCAGATAAAGGGTATTTTTTTTGCATATTAGTCTCAGTATATAGGAAATTGTTTTCTAATTCCTCCTTAGCGTCTTCCAAAATATACGGCAAGCTGTTGTGGACATTATGTTGCAAAAAATCCGGAAAATGATGACGCAGGAACATTGGCAGCTGAAGGCTTTTGAAACGTTGTAACCCTTTGCTTCTATTTTAAGTTAGCCTTTGAAAGATATTTCTTTTACTATGCGAAAAGGTTGAAAACGTTTTTGTTTTCCGCGATGAGCGATTGTCTCGGTATTTGGTTAAGGTATTTGCTTTCTCTTTTGTATAGTGACTGTTTTAGAAAGCTCATAATATATCTCAGATCCTTCTGACTAACAAGGGACATCGATCAAAAAGCGACAGCATGTAGCGATCTTTCCTGTCCTGTCAAGAAAGATGCCGTTTGCGCAGCCGGCGAACAGTCATCACAGACATTCATCTATACGGTGGTTAGTCTTGTTCTATGCCTACCTTGAAATTCAAGTTTCTTGACGGCACACAATGAGGGTGATTAAGGTAATGATTTACACATCTGAAATGCGCAATTACATCACGAAATTCATCCTGAAACTTGCTCTCAGAGTCAGGAAAGCAACTGAAGTTACGCTCCGATCGGGTCCTTCTATTGTTTATGGGAAAGAGAAAATGTGCTTTAGAAAGCGAAACTTTCCTTTCGAATTAAGACAATTCATTCCAGTGGTATCACGCAATTCCATTCTATTGAGTGTGAATGATGATTTCAGCGTAAGAAAATTAGCCAAAATCGAAAGAAACGAAGGTAAACGACTTCGAGTTAAGATAGATTTTACTATTGGCTTAGTCAAGGAAGGATTTATTATAAAGCAAAAAGATTTCGCTTTAATAAGAATCAAGAATGACTAATGAATAAAGGCTAAAAGTTTCTAAAGATACTGTGGTGCTGCGTCGGTGGGGGTAACAAGGTAATTTGGTTATATCAACTAAGTTGAAATTATAAATTGTCCACCATAAAAAGTTAAAGTAACGCTCGCACTGACGAAGGGCTAACGCTCGAAACGTCAGCTTTTTTATTCGTTAGGGTGGCCAATTTACAATTTCAACTGAGTTGATATAACCAAATTATCAAGAATGACTAGCTTATTTTGAAAGTCGAAGTTGTGTTCGAAAGTTGTGTTTTTGAAAGTCGAAGTTGTGTTTGTAGCACAATGAAACCCAAGAGGGTCGTTTAATATTTTCTTTGTTTAGATTTTCTTCTGCGCTTTCTGCGACTTCATCGCAGACATTGTCCAATTGTTACAAACAACCACACAAGCGAGTAAGTTATTGTGTTTTAGAAGCGCAGAGGCATATTTAGTTAAGCTCAAAACAGAATGGTAAAGTACTTGAATAAGGTTTGCCTTTGAAAAATCTCCATTTTTTTCTCTTCATCATTTTTAATTCCTTTTACAGATTTCTATGAACTTTTCAATTTTCTTTTACTTATTTTGCAACAGCGGTTGATTATTAGTGTCTTCGTTTAAATTGTTACGCGGAGAATTTGTGCACGGCTGGCCAGATTGATCCCCTCGCGCATGCCCAACACTTGACCGCTGGTTTCTGTAGTTGTGCAGTTATGCTGTACAGCCAGAAGGCTTGACACCTACCGCCCCAGTTGCGTCTAATCTTAGTCATCAAGCTCCACACTTACGACTGCAACTACATAAGAGAAGATGTCCAATGTGACATTCGTCATCCCTTCTCGTCGCAAATATGCCCACGTCTATATCTGAAACAAAATGAACATCTATAAGCTTAACACTAATATTGACTATGCCTTTGTCGACTTCATTTTGCAATTTAGGATCCGTTTGGCTGCCATGTGTAATCCCTTAGCTATATCTGCAGTCATTTCCGTGTTACCACAGGCGGCCCAAGCTCTCTTTGAGAACCACACAAGGAACACAATTTGCATAATTATAAGGATTTGTATGGGATTTTCTTCAAGATATCCACAGAGATAGTTAAAAGTGAAAATATTAAATAAAAATGGCTTTCATTGTTCCATACGTGTGTTTTTGCTCCTGGTGTCGTTATTTTACCGATTTCACTTGATTTAAGCGTTTATTTAAATCCTGGTTTCTACCGCATAAGAAGTAAATATCAGCTGCTATGCGAGCAGCTAGTTGTTTATATGCAAAGCTGTGTGTTACAAGCGGCTGCTGAAATTTCAACGAGCAACTGAAAAGGTTCTAGAGCTGAAGAGGGAAATTCTTGAATCTTTCCAAGGGAGGCCAAGAGCCAAGCGTGTGCATAATGTCGGAGATGAGCGTCGAGAGCAAAGTAGAGCTGTCGGAATCCAAAATTTACCGGTGCCGTCAACGATACGAGCAAAGGTCTCGAAAAGTCTTCAATTTAGCGCTGCCGAAGATGTTTATATAAAATCTACCACTCGTCGCCAAATTTAGTATCTTGTAGGGAACTTATGGAACACACGGAATCCGCATTGCCACGCTACCTTAAGTCTCTCGCACACTCGCTCTATATATATTACACAGCATTACCCACGTGCTTCATACTAATTAGATTACGTCATCACCGATATTATTACACAAACACGAACACGATAGGGAGAGCTTGATAAATTAGAGCTTTTCCAAAGCCTGTGGGGAGGTTTACTAATACATCTTGCTTCTGGACGACAAACTTTTGAATCGCAAGGTTCTGGTAAGAATCAAAGCTTGCAATTTTGAAAGTTGACGATGCTTGAAGAAAAGCTTCATTAAGGGCCACCATCTTGATTTTGTAATCTCAGGAGAACGTGGAACGATAAAACGAGAAGTATTATTGGTCGAGTAATCTTTAGAAAATTTCGCGCGCGACAGTTTCAGAAAATGGAACTGTAGCTGTGATTGGCTAAAATCGGGAAAGGAACGTGGTTCGAATGAGAGCAGCCGTTTCTTTCGGGGGAGCGTTGCGTGACATCCCGAAAGACAGCTGCGAAGGAGACTAGGAAGGAAGCATTGGGATGTTACGTGGAAGATGTTCGAGAGGTCATGCCAGTCTATGTTGTGGAAGATATTCGGAAACGGTGGCCAAATCCCGATGGAGTGCCCTACTGTGCTCACCGTCGTTCATAAAATCAGCATTACAATACTCCATCAGCACTTCCCTCCAAAATAGTATACATTTCTTTGTATAATGACAATAAGGTACAATAGAAGCTATATTGTTTCACAATACACTGTATGCCCTAATTCTGAACTCCACTATGCAATATCTTGAGGGATTGATCATCATTTTCCATGTTCTTCCTCCACTGCTTGTACCTTAGGTTGTGATCCTACTAGGAGAAAAAAAAGGAATTGGGTTGCAGTTTATTTCCTCTCTCTCAATAAAGATTATACACAGGTGCTATTTATAATAATTGTCATTGAGTCGCGAAGATTTCTGAGCATATGAATCCAAAATGATGTCATCATTCAAGAGAATTGAAATAATACTTTGCCTTGAACCATCCTTGATCATCAATAAACTCATTCCAAAACCAAAGCTACATCATCTCTGAAAAGGAATGCAAACAAGTAGTAGCCTTATATCGTGACACTTCAAGAGCTTCTCCAAACAACCTAGAAGCTGCCAAATACATACTAGGCAAGGCATATGGCAAAGCCTACAAGCATCGTGACTATTATATACATGTAAATACAAGTACTGTCTTCAATAAAATAGATGCAAATGTGAAAGAGACACTAATTTCAAATGAATTCAGTCTTGATAATCAGTTGTAATTGATCATGACCATTGATAGATTACAACAATAACAACTTTATCAGTGAGGAAAACAACCACCACCAATGTCAATGTGTTGTAAATTGTAAAGTGCACTCAATGAATGACATGACATGAGTCATGTCCTGAATGATTTAGTACTTTTTTTGATCAACAAACACCAAAAGTCTTGTTTAAGTTTGATGCCTTTAGATTATTTGATAACATGCTGGTAACAGATTAAATAAATAATTACAAAACTGAAGAGCACCACACAGTCATTGGCATATGAACTTTTATACATACTTACCATGCCAGGTGTCAAAGGAATTCTTGATGCCTCTTTGCTCAAACCAATTTTTCAATTATCTGACAGTTATGGGCCACCTCTGTTACGTTGTATGCTAAAAGCAAGAGTCTGTTTGATATGTTATGGTTTTTAGTAAGACAGGAATCCCACATCATAACAGCCAAAATGGAGAAACAGAGCTATAGAGATACTGGAACCTGTAGGTGCCAGGGGAGGCTATATCAATTTATCCAAAATACTGCAGGGAGGCAAAAATCCCAAAGACGACTGATAAGATGA